GCTTATATTTTGATTGCGCTGATGATGAGGAACTCGTTGGTGACTTTAATGCTTTTTCGTTGGGACATTCCCAATATCTCGGGTTTTCCTTCGATTGTGATGGGGGACTTGGCGGACCTTGCTGTAAGGGACGGTACCCCTTGCGCTCGATCGATTTTCGACGTATATATTCTTTTATTTGATCCATGTCTTATCGCTCTTAATCGAAGTTTACGATTAAACGAAAAAAGCTTTATACACTGTTTATGTACACTGTCAGATCGGTGACATGTCGTGACGCGCTAAGAGAAGCGCCGATATTTCGGCTGCTAAACAAAAAACATAACTCTTCTGCAGTAAATGTGGAATGTAGGATGTGCATGTATCCACACAAAGGCGAGTACTCCGAGTCGAACGCTCCCCCTTTTTTTGTCAACGATTTCTCTTTTATTACTTGAACATGCGTTCTCTCTCGTCTAGATAGTATTTACTTAAATTTACTTAAATTTTACGATCGACAATCTAAAAAATTAAAAGCTACGCTTTGTGATCCCATATTTTATTTTACCAACTTCCCGTTGTTTGACGAGAAAACGCCCTTCAACTTGCTTTTACGCATTTGGAAATTGATTTTCTCTACATGGTTTGCCATAAATTTTATTGTCATGGATCTGACGATTCTGAGGATCTATGTTTTTGCTTATGTTTCCAATATCGTTGAGAAGATTTCTAATGACACGTTTCTTGAATATTGTCATGCTCGCCGATCGGTGACGTTCGAGTTTTATGTTCGTGCTTTGTCCTAACGACTATTTTGTCGAAATTTTCACGAAACGGAGAAATCGTGGAGTCCACTGGACATAATATATATAGAGCATAAGTGCTCGACACCTCAGTTGGTGCCTTGAGAGATTGTCGAATCGGTCGCAATAAAAGCGGTGCGAAAAGTGTGGCTAACCCAAGTGCACAAATTAAAATTATTTGAACAGTATTGTGAACAGTATTGTGAATAATATAGTGAATGAAACATGGAAAACCATGAGCGAGTGGAACGCGAACTGCTGGAGCAGTGCGGTCAGGTCGCTACTCTGGTTGAGTGTTTCGCGTGGTTGCAACGATGCGACGAGTGCATCGAGCGGCTCGAAGAACTTTGTCGTGCCAAGCGTCCGCGCCTTGCCGTTGGACATAGACAATCCGTGGTGGCGAGGATCGCGCGACTCGCGGGTGCAAAATCGCAATTGGAGCGACGTTTCGTGCACGTTGGTGGTGGGCACGCGAATGATGAGTACGCGAGTGGCAACGAAAGATTTCTCGTCTGGCGAGAGATTGATGCCGCGTTTGAAAGCCGTATATTGACGGACGCTGTGTTAAATTCTAATTACATCGAATCGCGGCGGTTTTTAGAAGACGCGAGAGAAATAGTGCTCGAGCAAGTTCGAGACGTAGAAAGACATGGTAGTGCAAAAGTGAATACCGCGTTCAACGACGAGTTCGCAACGAAAGATAAACGTGGCATTAAGGGGAGAAATACATTTACAAGCTCGAAAATCAGTCATTTTTCATGAATTTTTTTGAGGATGATAAAATAATTAAATCATTTTGCACTTTTGACATAATTTAATAGCAAGTGTCAGCTATTAAAAAAAAAATTTTTTTTTTACACAAAATGGCGGCGGTACAGTCCCTCCGTGTAGGCCGTTTTTGTAGGAGATGGAAAACGGCTGCCATCGCCCTGGTTTTTCTATTGGTCTGAAATCAAAAAATAAAAATGATTTCGATTACTGATGAGTTTAGGCGAAGGATAAACCTATAAAATTGATAAAAAGTACAAAATAAAAAATTTAGTAGGCTTTTTATAATAAAATTTTTTAATAAAAAATTCGAATTTTCGCCTATTTTTTCCACAGTTTGTACCCCCTTACAATTGTTTATTTATGCAAAATCTGTAATATTTTAGGTTTATCCTTCCGATAATTATGTTGACTAAAACCCCTCAAAATTTCAGCCCGATCGGTTAATAACTTTTTGAGCTACAGTGGCAGCCTTTTTTGGAAACGTAGTTTTGAGAAAATCGCGTTTAAAGATTCAGGACGATAAAACTATTGGTTTTTGCGACTTACCGATCAATCAGCGATTCGAGGTACAATAGCCCTTCGGCTTCCTCGAAAAGCTGATTATCTTCCAATAGCTGCTGTTTCCGGGCAGTACGGGCAGCTTTTGTCTCGTTCTGGCTCATTCTGTTTTGCCTGGTTACGCGAGCCTCATCGGTGTTTTTCGCGAAGTTGAGGGCTCGAGTTTCGACAACGATGTCCAATGCATTCATTATTCTTAATATTGAAGTATAGCCTTCATTAAATACTCCGGCTGCAATGTAGGCTGATATTTCAATTATTTTTTGGCCAGAATGCAATTGTTTCGGAGTCAATCGCCAAATGATAGAGTTAAAATTTTAGTTGGCGTTCTGCGTATGACCACCCAAGCACCTTTCCAGTAGATCTTCTCTGGACAAATCTTCATAAATTGGTAAGAGGTGCTCCTTCATCTCTTGGCCAAGCAGTGGTGGCAGATCTTCGAGTCTCGGGTCCGTGTTCAAAGCGACAGCTTTCTGCCACTTGCACCGGTTCTCAGGTCCCGTCGGGCAGCTTCTGTGGTTTGGCTCTTCTTTCGTTGAAAAGATATGATAATACGTAGCCATAATTACGTTTTTCATATTTTCAACACTTATCTGTGTTTCTTTGGATGCTCAAACCATAATATTTAGTGAGTTGCTTAATTTTTTCTCCGTTAACTTGTTCCTTCCGCCAAGTTTTTTTTCTTTTCTTACGTTTTGGAGTCTGTTGTATATTCTCTTTTCAACGTGGCCGATACACTC